TATCCAGATCTAAACGTCCAGGATCCGATTTAAACCCCGATCCGACACATACCATTTAGATTCGGATCCAGCCCGATCCGACCTGTACTCTCAAAGTGCGTTCAAATAGGAGTCTCAAGAGTAGAAGTATGAGAATTTGAGGATTCCATTGTGCCTTGATGAAAAGCTGAGGTCCCATTTCAAGTTTGAATAAGATTAGTTCTAACCTTTATATAATAGCGTGAAATGGTTGAGAGTGCGATCATATAAAAGATCAAACACTCTATTGACTACTCTAAAACAAGAAGATTTACAACGCACAAAGCTGTCTTTCTGTTGAGAGAAAGAAAGCTCAGTAAGAATTATTTTTATCTAGATATTAACAACAGGGGTTTTTTATCTAGATATTAACAATAGGGTATCAAACAAACTAGATGTTTTCGTATTGCCTAGTGTTTTAAGATCTAGCGATTTTCGATCAGTATGGGGAATCGTGACCAAACCAATTCCTTAATGGTATGGGTCCTATTTCGGTTCCCCCTAGATGACCGACTCCTCCTCCCCCCAAAAAAAAAACACAAAAACATATATATTTTTCCTTTTTTAGGTTTATCTAATATTTATTAAATTCCCTCTATATTCGCATCTCATAAATCCTTGTTTTTATTTTATTTTAATTATTTTTCATATTTTTTGGATCTACTAATTTGAACTGATTTAGATTTGATCAAGATCACCTATGTAGCACATATCTATAGGTGAATGATACGCTCTACCAATTTGGGTTCTGAAACACTTGTATGAACCTTTGGCGATGAGCTTGGTGTCAGGTCCTAGTTCCCCAATAATTCAATCTCTTTTGAAAGTGTGGTTAACACAGATCCGCTACCTTCAATTTAGGATTTCTCCAAACAAAATAGTATGATAAACCTTAATGCTACTTAATTTCAGTTTTCTCGACTAAGGTATAATTTCAGCTTAGTTTCAGCTTTCATTTCCCCTACAAACAAAATATATAAGGTATGAATTTTATAATATAGAACTAAGGCACATCTAAAAATATATTGAAAAAGGTTTGTCTGAGGTTTACGAAGTCTCAAATTGATCATCGACATGTACAAATACGAAAAAAAGAAAGAAAGAAAAGATTTCAAATCTTAAAAATAAAGTATTTTGTAACACATTATCTATATTTCTAGAGCTTTAAATTCCATAATTACTAGTAAAAACAAATTTTGAGAGCCACTCTAAGAGTTCTAGCACCCAAATGCATCTGTCCTAAAAGTGCCTCTTGATTGTTTAAGGTGGGTGCCTTATATAAGTCTCACCCTTTTCTCAAACCTTATCTCTACTATCCAAGATCTTGGACAAAAAGTAGTTAAAAATCTTGATCACCTATAAAGAAGGATTATGTTAGGGTACTTATACATACGAGTATTCTCGTAATATAATCAACTTTTTGAAAATTCATGCACCCTTGTTTTATAATATAATTTTTTTTAATAAGTGCACTTTTGAAATCAAGAGAGATAAAATAGATATTTTTGACATTTATCCGTTGTTAAAAAACAATCATTGCTCCATATAGGTGGTATGACAATGATATCATATTTCGCTACAAGTCAAAAATAATAGAAAAATGTGGTATGACAATGACATCATCCTTCGCTACAAGTCAGAATAAAGAGGAAAATGTTTTGATATGGCTCCAAACGTATAGGTAAAGCCTCACCTCATACCTTCTCAAAAATTGCAATTGTATTGAAAAGCCTTTAAATTCAATTATTTCAGCTTGAATGTTATGGTTATGAAAGAAAGTTAAGATTTCTAAGTCTTAAAAATAGTCTATATTGCAACAAATCATGTAGACCATCCATTCCAATTTAAAAATAAGTGTTCATAGATGCGCAAGATCTATACCATTTTTTAGCTTCAAATTTTGTTGATGAGGTTGGAAATTGTTTTGGAACAGTCTTAAAGATTTGCCATGCCTAAAGTGCTTTCTAGATAAGGATTTGAGGTGAGGCTTTATTTTGTTTTTATAAAGCCTAGGCCTTATAGAAACTTCATCTTATATAATATTCTTTCTATCAAGAATTTCAATTTTACCTCTAATTAATTATCTAAAATACCCTATTAACAAAAAGGTTATTACATAGTGCGGCAAGGGCATCTTGTATCAAAAAATATCGAGTATACTTCCTATCCATCAGTACCCTAACATAATAACCCCAAATCTCCATACATCTAAGTGTATGAGGTGGGTCTCAACCTTTTGCCCTAAATTCACATGCTCACAAAACACAACTTTCACCTATAACATTTCTCACACGTGGCAAATAAAAAATGGTTCACGTAGACCTCCCCTCCTCTCTTATTGGCTTTGCTCACGTGCACCCCATAACACGATGGGGTCTATACGTAGGAACATCATTGGCCTATATACCAAACACTGTTAAGACTAAGAATACAAGGCAAAGGGCCCCCATTGGGTTCACCTATTGGACCACACGTGTCAGGAGGACACACATATGGCCTCACTCCATTGGCTGCTCTTCTCAAAAGGACGATCCCATTATTGTGTTGGCGTGCTCCCCATTAAGACGAAAACATTTTACAATGGTAACCAAAACTTAGATTTACTTAGTGCTGCTGATCACATTAATTAAATGCCAATAATCACAACCATTATAATGCATTAGAATGATATGAGCAAAGTACAGTGCGTATGACGTGCCTTTTGCATTGCCTATATATCTTGCTTGACTTGAAGGAGACAAGCCAGCATCAAGAGTGAGCCACTTTTAGCTAAGATTTCGAGAGTCGAATTCGTCATCAATATTTTGTATCTCGGTGCTAAACTTGCTTTTTAGGCCCTCCAAATCCCAATTCTGTAGAAACCATCCGTTCGCAAGTGCTTATTAGGTCCTTAAACTCTTGTTAGGTTTTTGAGTTTCCAAAATGGAGACTAAAAGTGCATCAGAAATGGTTGCTGTTATAGTGTTTGTTCTTCTTGTCATGGGGCCTGGTGTCGTTGATGGCGCGTTTGGTATAGAAATGTACCCTTGCACTATGTTTCAATGCATGAATGAGTGCAAGAGGGTGCTCAAAGACAAATATTTGAATGCTGCTTGCTCCGCTGGCTCCCAAGGAAAGCTTTGCCTATGTTGGGGATGAGTAGCTCCACGGAACGCGTTGCATATATTGGGGATGAGTGGTTTGTCGGTGAAGGTAAAGCTTTACATATGTTGGGATGAGTGATTTGTCTAATAAAACTTTAGGATATTGAGGTACTAGTCGAGTTGACAATCTAGATCTCATAGAATATGTTCGCTTTTATCCAGCTATGCTTTTTATCCTATCAGAAAAGTCTAGTAACTAGTTAATTAGTATATCATGTGTTCCAGATGTGCATATTCTTAGTCTTTTTACTTTTCTGTTTCTTTTTTTGTTTGTGTGAGACAAAATATTTATATTCTTGTAAAAAAGCCACTGACTTATAGGTCTTCCATAAGAAAGAATTTCTTGTCTACCTTTTCTCTTCTGAAGTTGTGCTGATTATATAGGTCTACCAAAAGAAAGAATTTCTTCTACAAAAAGGGTGCTTATTTGCTTCTCTAGAGTATGAGATTAAATAAAGTAGTTTATAGAGTTGATGGTTTAGAATTCGCCAGACAGATCTATCTCCTTAGATATCGACAATCCAATCAAAAATCAAAATCTAAACCAGCTATTGAACAAAAGATATAACACACATAATCAACCCTTTTCGGGTCGGTTGGGTTCGACATTTTCATCAATTGAAAATTAGGATTCCTCATATCATCATAGCATAGAGTCCTCAAACTAAACTAAATAATCTCATGAAATGATGACAAAAGCATACCTTGTTTCTCTTAAACTGCTCTTCTTAAACATATACAATAGTTAATATCACACGGAGATTAGTAGTTCCACCTGATTTTCACTTCAGAACGTGAGGGATTAATATTCAAATCTATGGATGACTTTAACAAATTCCAGGCTATCAAATTATAATATTTTAGTTACCCTAAATTGTAATCTCTTAGTTATCCTAAACTGTAAAAAAAATTGGATACACCTACAATAACTAGTTCTCATAATATTTCATCAAAGATGTACTTCGTGGCCATCCCAATATTACTAGATTTTCAAACATAATCATAGCAGTATTATATCAACATTGATAACTTCTGAAAATTGGAAATAGTGATGAATCAACAGTCTAAATAACTAGAATGCAAACTACTTGTTTAACTGAAATCAGATTACTATTAAAAAATGATGCCTCAAGAAATATAGTTCTTCATGCACAGTCAAAAACCAGAAAAATAACAAGAAAATAAAAGAAACGAAGAGAAATGAATTCGATTGTGTTTCGACATGATGCAATGCACAACTTAAAATAAGATACTTAGAGTAACCCAGAAGAACGATCCTAAATATAAAACAAAGGTTTTTCGTTGCATTAGTAGGTACTGGATCGAAATAGACAGATATAAGAAGCAAAGATATTGGTATGCCGACTAATCATCTTGAAGAAGAACAGATTGCAGTTAAAGTCACTCAGAATGTAAGCTAGTAAAAAATAAGTTATAATAGAATTTAAGCAAGCAGTAAACAAGGCACGAAGCCACTAAAATAGAAAATAAGTCTGTAAGGCCCATCAATAGATGAATCATGCATAACTTCCAGAGCACATCAATCTGCATTTAAATTTGGTAATGATTTTAATTTTTAGAATAAAAAAAACAGAAGGAAAAGTATACAATGACATGTATCTTTGGTACAAGGTGGTCACAATTTATTTTGACCATTGGATGTGAAATTTGATGGTTGCATTTATTTCATTGACCAAACTCAAACTTCAAAAAAAAATTTCTTGAACTTTGTCACATACCCAGGCTATCTGGATAGTTGTAAGTAATTATGACCTCCTTGTCTCAAAGGTAAATGGTCTCATTGTATACAATCCAAAAAAAAAAAAAGTGGACAAATGAAATTACACAAGCAAACGCAATAGAAAAGGCAAGAAAATAAAGCATTCCCTAATGCAACATAATTCATGATAATTATTATGATGGTGATGACGATGATGGTGATCAAATGATGCTTAAACAAATATTTTTGTATAGAGTTATTTTTCTTGACTAAGGGCAAGCCTAATCAGTGCCCAAAATGAAATAATGCAATAGGAAATTTATCAAACCACCACAAAACTATGCAATATTTACTATTTAATATTTCACCTATTTCTTTTGTACTAATTTCTAAAAGCCCTTGAAGGACACATCATAACGGGTTAGAAATGGTTGGAGGGGCAATTTCAAATTTTGGCAATCCATAACCAAATAATTTCTGACAAAGATTATATACTGCAATAGCAAAATGCTCGTTTGCTCACTCAATCAAATTCTAGCTAAGAGTACTTTTATACCACAACTTTTGGGGATGTGACCTACTAAAACTAGCAAACAGCATAAAAGAAAAAAAAGAACTGCATAACAAAAAATTATAAAAGAAAAAAAAAGAACTGCATGACAAAAAATTTACGCACTCAAATTACACACAGACTAAGGGCTAGCCCTTGAAGGACACATCATAATGGGTTAGAAATGGTTGGTGGGGCAATTTCAAATTTTGGCAATCCATAACCAAATAATTTATGAAAAAGATTATATCCGCAATAGCAAAATGCTCGTTTGCTCACTAAGCAAATTCTAGCTAAGAGTACTTTTATAACACAAATTTTGGGGATATGACCTACTCAAACTAGCAAACACAATAAAAGAAAAAAAGAATGCTATGAGAAAAAATTTATGCACTCAGATTACACACAAACTGTCCAACTTTGGATGATAGATCTAAGTGTTTAGCTATTCAAAATCCTCTTTTATTTTCTACTAAATATATACTCATCCTGTAATTCCAAATTGGATTCCAAAATTTAATATCAACAAAATACGCTTCAGTCACTCGAATAAGGGAATAAATGTAAACTTTGAGCACGTGGGAACATAGTATACACGCTAACTGATATTAGTATTTGAAAATAATAATATTACAAAAAAGAAAACTAATTTGGTTTTGGTTTTGATGGAGGAGAAAAATTGAAAATTACCCCTGCATCAATTTTTGAGCCATGATGTCTCTTTTGTAAGGGCATTCAGAAAGTAGGAGTGTAGGTCAAAGGGATAGAATGAAATGTGAAGTTGTGAAACTCTTGAACGTGGTTTGAGAAATTTTCCGAATGAAAATAAGTAAATGATTTTAACTACGATATTAGCATTTGAAAATAACAATATTACCAAAAAAAAAACACTTCTGGTTTTGATGGGTGAAAAATCGAAAATTGCTCCTTCAATTTTTGAGCCCTACATGTTGAGTGGTTTGATAAATCAGTTTTTAAAGATAGCTACGACTCCGATGGCATGAACATGATGACAATGATGATGGTGAATGGTTAATGAAGACAAGTGTGATAGTGGTTACAGACATGTGAGGTGCGATGGTGGTGTTAACCATCTTGTCAACAAAATTAGGAATGCATATTAACTCAGAACTATGATATGATCATGATGACAACGATGACAACAAAATTAAGAATATATAAGTACTCAGAACTATGCAAATGCCATGCAAACAGGTGAAGTGTGATCAAAATCTAAATCCTAAAGGATGAATATTGGATCAGAGAAGTATACAAAGAACTATGATCATGATGACAACGATGACAACAAAATTAAGCGCCATGCAAAAAGTTGAAGTGTGATCAAAATCTAAATCCTAAAGGATGAATATTGGATCAGAGAAGTATACAAAACTCCGGTTGAAGTGCGATTAAAATCTAAATATTAAAGGATGAATATTGAATCAGAGAAGTATACAAAACCCCTCAAACCAGTATTTAAATTTACTGATTATCAACCATAATAAAATACAATGTCATCGTTCTACTTTATGAGAATTTTTACAGTAACTCAAATATTCTAAAGGTCAAAGCCTTTTAATTCCTTCCCACACAAAGTTACAGGCCTTTTAATTCCTTCTCACACAAAGCCAATCAGAAAGCCACCTATAACTAGAAACAAATGATCAATAATGGCTATAAAATCTTATAAACACACCTCTAAAACAAACCTCAAAATAGGGGGCAATCGCAAGCTATTCAGCTTTCCTGGTTCAACCTGCCAAACCCAAATCACACACAAAAATAATAATAATAATAATAAGAACCTTATCGATTGAGAGATTCCAGTAGTTTAAAGTGATACCCAAAAAAATGGAGAGAGAGAATACCATACTGGGTGAATTTGGCAAAGCTTATGCAGAGATGGAGGAGAAATTGCAGGGCCAACTAGGGCATACCACAAATTTCCACACAAAAGCCATTGATAGGTCTTGGGCTGCATAGGAAACACTAGAACCCTGCGCATCGAGAGAGAGGGCGGAGAAAATAGCTGGAAAATTCAACCCCTGATGTCCTCTCAAACCCACCAAATTTTTTCCCAAAATTCACACTTTCTATCTACTGTCTGGAACCCTGAGAATCGTCCTTCGAAGAAGGACCCTGCTGCTGATTTTGATGCTGATGATGCATGCTTCCCCCTCTACTCTGCCCAATTTGCTGATAAAATTGGCTCAAAGCCTGTGTACTCAAAACCCCAATATGGCCATCAGGTGAAAGACCAAGCTCTAAACCAGGAAGTTGCTGATTATGGTTTCCACCACCTGAGGTATTGCCCAAAATAGAGCTAAGATTCATATGACCTAAATGAGAGCTCGGCATTTCGAACCCCGAAAACCCAATTCGAGGCACAAAGCTCGCGTTCTCGCTCCCTAAATTCGAACTAGATGGTGCAGAGTGGTGAAGAAAACCAGACCCAAATCCCCCAACTGAAGGCCACAAGCTACTCGTTAGTGGAGATCTATGGAGATTACTCACCATTGTCCAATTCGCTCTATTACCCAATTCCTCCATTTTTGAACCAGACGAAGCAGAGCTTGCTTGGTTAGCCATGGGACCTGCAGAGGCTAGGGCAGAAGCTGGAATAGTCCCCGTACCGGTCGCCGCTATAATTGATGGCTCAGCCTGTTGAAGCAGCCATTGAATGGTTTCTCCATCGGATTTATGCCCCAATTCTCTTGTCAATTGGAAGATCCTAGCCGCACAAAGAGCAGGCATTCTTATTCTTCTTCCTCTTCCATCCACCTTTGTGTGTCTATCTTTGTTTGAGCTTCTTTTTGGGGCTAACTGTTTCTTTGCTTCCTCTTTCTCACTCATCACCTCAACTATCGGCAAATCTCTGGGTTCTCCACCACCTTTGGTGGAGTTGCTGTTCTCTCTCTTCTCTGGCTGGAGGCCAAGGGCTTGATGGAACTTGGGAACTTCATGGGGCGGGAGCTTTGAGGACTTTGGATCCATTTGGGTGGGTTAGAGAGAGAAAGTTAGGGCCTCAAAAGGGTTGGTGGGTTAGAGATAGAAAGTGGAGTGAAGAGAGGGTCCTGAAAGCCTTAAGAATTCATGGGTATTCGCCGTTTATAGCAGGAGTGAGAGCGAAACTGAAAGAATGACCCCCCAAATTACTGCAGGTGGACTGTTTTCCTCTTTGTTTTCGACTTTCACTCTCTACATATATCCCTCCTTTTTGGCCTTTTAACTGTCCACTGTTGATGAAATCTTTTTGACCGTTTTGGGGACTTGACACTTTCATTACCAAATCCATAATTACGGTCCCCTCTTTCTCTCTCTAAAAGTCCCCTCTCTCTCTCTCTGGAGTCTAAACAGTACACACTTTGTCTCTCTTGAATTTTGGTTTTTAACCGCCGCTGCTTTCACATACATTCCATGCATCATTTTCTCTCTCTAAAACAATGGCTTCGTTGCTATTATTGTCGAGATGAATCTCTTCAAAGCGACTCAAAAACGGACGTGGAGGGGAAGGAGTGGCACAGGTGGTACAGCATGACAGGGCCGGCGTTCATTGTCACAGTTGCTTCTGCAACACTCCAGAACATCAGTCCACCGCAAGCCCAAAACTTTTAACAATTTTAGAGAGAGAAAGATAAATTTTATGAAACGAAATGAACTGCCTGCCCTCTTAATAATACGGGGCCCCAAATAGAATCTCTCTCTCTCTAGAGAGAGAAATTTATTGAATCAATTACCCTTAACAATACGGGGCCCCAGATAGAATCTCTCTCTCTCTCTCCCCCCTACAATAATCCAATATTGAATATTGCCTCTCTGGATGACTGCCACCCCACAATGTGAACCTTTATTTATCACATGCACACCAGACAAGACTCAAAACACACACCCTCTCTCCGTCACTAGGTTCCGGGCACTAGGACACTCTCTCTCTCTCTCACTAGCATTTATTTTTTGACATTGGAGGTTTCCTCTCTTGGTGTACGCAGAACTAGCGAACCAGCTCAATTTTAATAAGTTGGTGCAATGTTTTTAAGAGTTGGTGACCATGTAGGTGAAAATTTGTATGACATGTACTGTTTTTGTATGGGAAAATTTGTAAGACCTTTACTGTACTGTTTTTAGGACGGATCATTAGTGTGGGTCCCAACTCGATTTTTCTTAAGAGTCTCTTATTTATATATAAATAAATAAGAGGTAATGATTTCATACAACCGTTATATATTAATACGGTGCAACAATATTAAAAAATTATTTTATGACCATTTGTTTGATTCAAATTTTAAAATATATATTTTTTTTATTCTAATGAACAATCACAAAAAAAAAAAAAATTAATTTAAAAACACAACGTAGAAAGCATTTGTTTAGCCCAATTAACATAAGCCGTTCATTTTGGTGAGATGCATAGATCTAGGCCTTAGAAGGATTTTTTTATTTCCAATTTTTTTGGATGACTTTATTATCATTAGATGAACAATATTAAAAAAAATTAAAAAATGATTTTCAGTTTATAAAGGCTAAGATATTGAAATTTATAAAATGAATGGTCTAGATTTGTTTTTTCAAGGGACTCATTTTAACCATATCTAGGGTTTAAATTTAAATTTTTTTTTGGTGAGGATTGATTATTGAGATGAAGAGAGAGAGAGCGTGTAAAATTTGGGGTTGTACAAATACCACAAACATGGTTTTCTAGAAGTGTCGTTGCATTATACTATGATACAACCGTTGTATTGGATCATTGCTCAATAATTAATCCCCTCGCCAAAAAAAAAAAAAATCAATTTGAACCCTAAATATGGTCAAAATAGGTCCCCTCTAAAAACTCAAAATAACTGTTTTTCTTCTTTGACATTGTTCGTCTAATGATAATAAAGCCATCTAAAAAAATTGGAAATAAAAAAATTCTTCTAAGGCCTAGATCTAAGCATCTCACCAAAATGAACAGCCTATATTAATTGAGCTAAAAAATACTTTTTATGTTGTGTTTTCAATTTTTTCTTTTTTTGTGATTGATCATTAGAATGAAAAGAATATATATTTCAAAATTTGAATCAAACAAATAACCATAATATGGATTTTTAAGATTGTTGCATCATATTCCTATACAT